ATGCACGAGGAGGACGTTCCTAAGAAAGATTTTTGGACACATAGTGACCATTATGAGTACCTCGTGATGCCCTTCGGACTCTGTAATGCGCCATCGACATTTCAGGCCGCCATGAACGATATTTTTCGCCCTCTGATTCGCAGGTCAGTACTGGTGTTCTTTGATGACATTCTGGTTTTCAATAAATCGTGGGAAGAGCATATGCAACATTTGCAGGAGGTATTTAAGATACTGGAGGGAAATCAGTTTTATGTGAAGGCATCTAAGTGCGCCTTTGGGGTCTAGTCGGTGGATTATCTGGGACACGTGATATCAGGCGAGGGAGTAAGGGTGGACCAGATGAAGATTTAGTCCACGATGGACTAGCTAGTGTCGAAGTTAGCGATGGAACTGCGGGGTTTCCTCGGTCTCACTGCTACTATCGGCGGTTCGTGTAGGGGTACAGTTCTATAGCGGGGCCGTGAATGCACTTTTGAAGAAATGGGGGTTCAGCTGGAACCCCGATGCAGAGAGAGCTTTCGGCGAGCTTAAGACCGCTCTGTCTACGACCCCGGTCTTGGCCTTGCCATATTTTTCTCAGTCGTTCGACATCGAGACCAACGCATCTGGCAAGGGAATATGCGTTGTACTATTACAGGAGAGGCACCCTATCACCTTCATGAGCCGTAATCTTCCGCCATCCAAGGAGGCTTGGTCCACGTATAAGAAGTAGATGCATGCTATCACGAAAGCGGTTCAGATGTGGCGACCCTATTTGATCAGTCAGAAAATCTGCATCTACACCGATCACCAGAGTCCTAAACATTTGAGGGATCAGAGGGTGTGCAATCCAGACTAGCACAGGTGGGTGGTAAAATCGATGGGGTTCGACTATGAGCTACACTATAGACTGGGTCTGATGAACAAGGCCGACGATGCATTATCGAGGGTGGAGCTGGGGCCACAAGTGGCGGCAGTGACCGGGCCAGTGGTGCAGTTCTGGGATGAGGTCAGGAATGCGGTGGAGACGAGCCCGCATTTGCAGGAACGCCGAGACATAGCCCTTAGTGTGACACCCGGCGGATGCACGTTCCGACATGGGCTAGTGTTCCATAGGGGGCGAGTGGTTCTACCGCCAGCCACCTCCCTAACGACGACAATGATGAAGGAATTTCATGATTCCCCTGTGGGTGTCCACTCCGGGTATGAGAGGACCCTGAGAAAGATCCGCAGTCAGTTCTATTGGCCGCAAATGACCCGTGAGGTCAAGGACTACGTGACATCCTGTGACACGTGCCAGCGAGTCAAGGCATCTCAGTTACGACCGGCAGGCCTGCTGCAGCCGCTGACCGTGCTAGTGCGGATCTAGGAGCATTGTAGAGCAGTTCGTCTAGTGGGTCATTCGACACCACGGGTTCCATCGGTCGATCGTGAGCGATCGGGATGCGCTATTCCTAAGGAGATTCTGAAAGGAAGTGTTCGTCATGGTGAAAACAAAGATGAAGATGAGTTCGGCCTACCACTCACAGACCGATGGACAGACAGAGGTGGTGAACAAATATTGGAGCAGTACCTGAGATGTTTCGCACATCAGCAACTACGATGATGGCTGGCTATGCTACCCTAGGCGGAGCTGTGGTATAATACCACTTATCACCAGTCTATTCAGATGTCTCTGTCCGAGGCGTTATACGGGAGGACACCACCTATGCTAGTCTGATACCAGACCGGAGCGAGTGCGGTGGACGTGTGGACAGGTGGCTAGCCGATCGGGACGAGGCGCTGCAACATCTAAAGGCGAATTTGGCCGCCTCCAACAACCGACTAAAGTAGCAGGCAGATTCTGGGCGGCGAGAGGGGGAGTTCGCAGTGGGCGAGTGTGTATTACTCAGGTTGCACCCGTACCGACAAACATTTGTTTTCAAGAGAGTTTACCAGAAACTCGCTGCCCGGTATTTCGGGCCGTATCAGGTGTCGGAGAGGATCGGGGCAGTAGCGTATCGGTTGCAGCTGTCGGACACTGCCCGGATTCATCCTACGTTTCATGTTTCACTCTTACGAAGGTATCGAGGAGAAGTGCCACAGGCGATGCCGCTAGAGCCACCGGTGAATGAGAATGGCGCGTTGGAGCTGGAGCCCAAGGCGGTGCTCGATATGCGCTGACCACGGCGAGGCAAGCGTCGTGTAGCAGAGAGCCCAAGGAGGATACAGAGACTATCAGACAGACCTATCCTGCGTTCAACCTTGAGGATACGCTCGGTCTCGAAGGGGAGGGAGTGTGAGAGACCGAGTCGGCCTAGAGGGGGGTGTTTGGGTCATTTGAGTATTGTTGGGGGAGAGAACTATTTAAGCTACGGTCTTTGTTATTTCGATTAAGTAAGAATAATATCAGAATCCCTACTAATTCCTCATTTCTTCTTCAATTCTCATCCCAATTCCCAATTCTCAACCCTAATTCTTCTATTCTCATCCCTAATTTCTACTCAAGTATCCGTGTTTCTCACAAATTACCCCATCATCCCCAAAAATGCAACCCGAAGAAGTGTGTCTATGAATTACGAATCACAATTGAATGAGTGGATTAATTTAATATCAAAATCCACTCAATATGCCCATTATTCACCCAAATACAAAACTAATACAAAAATATTTTGTTATTTTAATGATTTCAGTGATTTAAAGTACATCGATTTGAATCCCACCTTGGATTCAACGTTGTTTTGGACTTCATGCAACCCATTGATTTGAGAACAAAGCCGGCAAGAGTCCAATATGTCTAACCAACCCGCGAGGCAGGCAATCTACAAGCAAACACAAGCTAAGACAACGAAGAGGAATTCCTGTTATTAATTTATTTGTGCACCTCTATCTTAGGAGAGGAAGACAACAAACATGACGGTGATTAATCAATTTGGATGGACTAAACAGTGTTACAGTCATATGCTTATCTGGGAAATTAATTAAGGTCCCATGTCACTCACACTCACTGACCGAGGCACTAAATGTGACATTGAATGATTGGTCTGGTCCAAGAGTAAAGTTTCAGCAGCCTAGTGGCCAAAACAAATACCAATTCATTTTTTTGCAGTTGAGAGTTGAGACTTAAGACAAGAACCAACAACGACAACTAATATTTCCAGCCCGATTCAAGTTCGTTAAACTTAAGATGAGATACAGTAACACACATGCATCGAAACTTTGATCAATGAATCTAATGACCGTAATCTTGACTTTTCTTATAGAAGTGATATAGGTTAATTTTTATAGTTAGGTGTTGCTGAAAAAATTTGAAATTAAGTCTTCGTATTATCTACTTTTGAGTAAACTTAGCCTTCTTCGTAATGATATCGGCTTGTTTTTCATTTATAAAGGTGTCTAACATATTACATGTCTAATTTTGTGATAAGAATCACATCTATAATGTGTTTTTTTTTTATAATGGGTAAAGAATGTACATATGAATTTTATCGAGTCGCAAAAATTATTTTAATTACCAAGAAAGAAAATTAATGTTCCAGATTCAACTTACACAATTTCTTTCTTTCCTTTTTCGTATTTTTTGTTTACCTGGATGATTGACTTAGACATGATTTGATGACGTAATCAAAATTCGATCGATCAATACGATTTGCCGGTCGAGAAAATTTTCGCGCCTGAAACAGGAAATTAAGTGAGACCGAAACAAAAAGAGGATTATTGACAATTCGATCAACATGCATGCAAATGTAGCAAGGATTCAAAGACTCTGTCTCCCCTTCCTTTCTCCAAAAGTAATTTGCTTTAACACTATATCTTAATGGTGTTTAGCGCCAACATATATACTCCTGAGACTTATTATACCGTTGAACTCTCTTGGGGCAGAGAGAGAGAAGAGAGTAAGTGGCTAACTGTCAGGACTCACGACAACAGGCACAGGGTTTTTCCAAATACCAAAGACATAATTAATTTACTGCCATGCAAAAGCTCAAGCAAGTTAAATTAAAGCTGCCCATTCATTCATTCATTCAACAGTGGAGCAGCAGCAGCAGTTCTCTCTCGCCCTTCCGTTTCCAGCACCCATCTTTAATTTATTGCTTCTCCTATCAAAATCACTTGTTTGGTTTTCACTACCTGTCCACTGTTCATTAATTTTTTCACCCACCTGACCTAACCACATATCTCACTGGAAAGAACCCAGAAGGAAGAAAGCAATACCCAGAGAGGTCTTATTTAGTTCCACGTCTGTTACGATTTCCAAGCAAGGAGAGAACACAAGTTGACCCATAACTCACATTCAAACCATCATCGTCATCGTCATTACTCCACAAACAAAGTTTTGAAAGAGCTTTTCCTTCCCTAATGTCACGAGGAAATGCATATATATGAAAAGCCATTCAATAACTCTCCACCCAGACCAATGTTGTTAAACATATTTAATTAAGTTGTTGAGCTGGTCATACAAGTGGTCTGGGGTACGTTCAATGGTTTGTTCGATGGTTTAACCTGTTTGAGTCGTTCAGCCAAGTGATTTGAAGTTCAATGGTCGGTTGGAGGTCCAAACTGTTTGAGCCGTTCAAGCAAGTGATTTGAAGTTCAGTGGTCTGTTGTTGAAGGTTCAACCTGTTTGAACCGTTGAAACAAGTGATTTGAAGTTCAATGGTCTATTCGGAGTCTAACCTGTTTGAGTAATTTTGTACATTCTTTTTACATATGTAAAAATATGATAATAATTTAAAAATATAATGATTGAAATAAAATTTACCTATTATTTAGTAATTTTACATTTTAGTATAACCCATTAAAACTCTAGTGTCATCTCATTCGATCATTCCTTTCCAAAATGACAGCATTTTATCATAAAGTCGGAAACAAGAAAAGGTAATTCGACCATCTATTTTCTCGACTATTAACTAACACTCAAAACGACTTGCTGAATACCCTTTTCGTAACCGGTTCTGATCCAACCTGATCCAACCGATGTCTGATAGTGGTTAAATTAGCTCTCCACCAAACTTTCCTTCCCTCATTAAATTCCCCATTTCCCCCCTCGTCGACTTGCAACCACAGTCAATTATTATTTATGCAATTTATTCACCACAATCTCCACACACAAAAAAAGAATCTAACAGTCCCCCCCTTCCTAGGAAAAGTATCAAATGGCGCATAGATATTCCCCTCTGTTTCTCTGCGTCCTAGAGAGACTACTACTAGTGTTCCTCCTTTACTTCCTCAATGCTATCAATCCGACGAGGTGTGAGGTGCCGGCGGTGATAGTGTTCGGGGACTCGTCGGTGGACGCCGGGAACAACAACGTCATCTCCACCCTGCTCAAGAGCAACTTCCAGCCCTACGGTCGGGATTTCGACGGCGGCCGGCCCACGGGCAGATTCTCCAATGGCAAGATCCCGCCGGACTACATCTCCCAGGCCTTTGGGCTCAAGCCCAATGTCCCCGCTTACTTGGACCCGAACTACGGTATTGCTGATTTCGTCACCGGAGTTTGCTTCGCTTCCGCCGGTACTGGCTACGACAATGCCACCTCCGACGTCCTGGTAAGTAATTTCCAACTCCACCACATGCATTAATTTTGATCTTGTTGTTGGATAATATGGCTGAGAAGGAAATGAATTTGAGAGTTTATTAGCAATCTAAAAACCAACACCATACCTTAGAGAAAAAAAAAATCAACACACTTTATTAGCTAATTATTTCTTCATTTAGAGTTCGTTCTAATGGGATCTGATGGATTAGTATTGTTTTTCGAAAATGGTCGAATTCGAGCAAATGAGTTCTAATGGGATCTTGTGGATTAGTGATGCTTTTCGAAAATGGTCTTACATATCTAATTTTATAGTTACTATCCAGTCTAATAGTGAAAAAGACCAAGACTTTTTTTAGTGAAGTTTTTCTGCAGTCGAATCTAGGCAACATTTTCAGCCACCTAGCTTAGGATACTCAAAATTTTGTATGATTTAAGACCTTTTTGGATAGATCATTTAGAAAAGTGTGCCAATTTGGTCAATTGTTTCATTTTATAAAATGGGTTATTTAAAATTGATCAGTTCGAATCGCATGCTCCCACTTTTGAATAATTGTAATTGTCTCAAAATGAGGCAATTCAATATTCTCCCAGTCTACATCAAAATCTTATACCACCACACTAATCAATTTGGTCAATTACGTCAAAACAAAACAATTGAGTCAAATTCAACTATGAGAATTCCACATCGACCCAATTTTGATATTTCCCCCTCTCTTCATGTTGTTTGTGTTATGGCAACAGAATGTGATTCCACTTCGGAAAGAACTGGAGTACTACATGGACTACCAATCCAAGCTCCGAGCCTACGTGGGCGACCAAAGGGGCAACAAAATCATCTCCGAGGCGCTCTACCTAATGAGCTTGGGGACAAACGACTTCCTCGAGAACTACTACACCTTCCCAACTCGGCGGTCCCAATTCAACGTGAAGCAGTACCAGGACTTCCTTGTGGAACTCTCTCGAAGCTTCATCACCGAGCTCTACAAGATGGGCGCAAGGAAGATATCCCTAACGGGCGTCCCTCCGATGGGTTGCCTGCCCTTGGAGAGGGCCACCAACTTCATGGACCACCACGCCTGCGTCCGCGAGTATAACGACGTCGCTCTCGAGTTCAACGGCAAGCTCGACGCCATGGTGGGGCAGCTGAATAAGGAGTTGGAGGGGCTCAAGGTGGTGTTTACCAGGGACGTCTATGGCCTGGTGCTTGACATGATCACCAAGCCTTCTTCTTATGGTAAGACACCACAACTTATATATTTAGACATGGGAGATTTGTTTGGCTGGTCTTGTTTATAAGAAGGAATAGGAAGGGTGCTTTGCTTTTATGGGTACCTGCTTTTTCTTCTTCTTCTTCTTTCTTTTGGCATGTGCTTGGTTGGATTAGGTTAGGTTTTCACTTTCTCTACTAGTTTGGATATACTAAATTAAGATATGGTGTTAGAATTCAATGTCGAAAAAGCGGAATTTTGTCGTTTATAAGGAATTTACGTGACATATTTTAAAATGTGTTTTTTTTTTCTTGATTTTTAAGAATGAACCGTTACACACTTAATTTTTCATAATTGGTTCTGCGACCGATCATGCATTATGATAGTAAGTAAGATTCATTATTGAAAGTCAAAAAAGTGTCGTGAACAATTAATTTTTTCGTTTATAAGAAAATCAATTTTGCATAACCATCAACAATCCCATCAACGGTTCATAGGAGACATATATTTCTAATTAGTCAACAATAGTAGTAGGGTATATGGTGTTAGAATTCAATGTCAAAAAGCTGCATTTTGTCGTTGATAACGAATTTACATGTCATATTTTAAAACGCGTGTTTGTTCTTTTCTTTTCTTGTTTTTTTTTTTTTTTTTTGAGAATGAGGTGTTACACATAAATTTTCGTAATTAGTTATGCAAATAATCATGCATTATGAAAGTAAGTAAGATGTAGTGCTCGTTTTGATTGTCGAGAATCAGAAAAAAATGTCTGTGATTAACGGATAGGGATCGATGTAGGGTTCGAGGTGGCAGGGATGTCATGCTGTGCGACGGGGACATTCGAGATGGGTTACCTCTGCAACAGACATTCCATCACTTGTGAAGACGCCAACAAATATGTATTCTGGGATGCCTTCCATCCCTCTGAGAGGACTAACCAAATTGTTTCTTCCCATCTCATCCCTATTCTTAAGTCCGAGTTCAAATAACTACTGCAGAAACAGGGATTGTTCAATCCCGTACCATTTGATTTGTATGTGGTGCAAACATGAAGCTTGGTTATTTCGGAGTAGTGATTTGTAACAATGTCCCCAATGGCTTAAATTACCAAATGGAGACATTCATATTATGGATATAAAATTAATACAGCCCAATTTACATGTTTTGGTCAAGTCCAGTCACATAATTAGGGATTGGGCCAAAGGGCCCTTCAGGTCAAGTTTGGGTAATCTAGAGAGTTCTGAATGATAAAACATTTTCTCATGGCTGAAAACTCCCAATAAGATAAGTCAAAGGACCCTCATCTAGAATAAAATCTCAATGGACACTATAATTGCAGTTCAATAACTAGAACTGGTGACCGTGGTATCACGTCGAGATGTGGGGTGGAGATCGACACCACACGAGATAGGAAGGGTCGCTTATTGGATGTCTAATACCGCCCGCCAATCTGCTAAGTTGCTCCATCACTTGTGTATGAAACTCCGAGGAGCCGTTAGGGGCTTCAGTTGGCCTGACAATTTGGACATTGGAGAGTGGCCCTACATATGGATTCGACAACAACGCTATCAATTCTGCAAGCGCAATGGAGGAGCCTTTGCACCAGCATGGAAGCCTTGTACTTCAGTCTCGAGGTATGCTCCAATGGGAGTGGACTGTTGGTCTCTCCTACGTGTTTACGAAGAGTAATTTTATAGTCGGTTTTTTTGGTTCACAGTGGCTTTGCTGTCCTTTATGTTCACTTTGTTTCGGAATACAACTTTAAGGTCTGACACTATACCATGTATGAATTTCTTGATACCTTTGATTTCTTGACATATTAATGTTAAGAGGTAGCAGCGTTTGTACTTTTTCCTAAAAAATAATGATTGGGCCGCTAAAATGCGACTGATCTTGGCTATGAGCCCATGACTATTGATGTTAGGCTTTAGTGGACTGTACGAGTTGGACTCAGTGCCACAACGGCCCACAGACTGGACCAATTTATTTTGGAGGAACGAAGAAATTGGTTGGTTTCTGAAAAACAAACCAATTATTTTCTACATAATTTGATCCAAATTACTCTTCAGTCTTCAGGGGATCTTTCCTATCCATGCTCCGGCCCAAGCTGCCATTGAGATGTTGAAGTAGGCTGTAGGCTAGTTCGAAAATGATCAATTTTTTAATATATATATATATATAGCTAAAACTTAGTTACGGTTGCCTAAAAAAATTATTTTGATACCTCAAATTTTATTAAATTATAACATTAAATTATAACTTAGTCCTTATAATGTAAATTTTACATTTTGGTAACCCAAATTTAAAATTAGTGTAAAATTATTGAACAGTTTTGTTTTGGCATCTAAATTTTATGAGATTTTCGTACCTACAATTTTTAAATTTACACATTGGTACAATGTTTAGATTTCACTTGAATCTATGAATTCGGATCCACCAATCCTTTTGAACCAATCCATGAATCCAATCCACCATAACATAAAAGTATAAATTTAGTTTGTACCATACAAGATGTTGTATCACTCAATTGTCGGAGAATATTCAAAATATTGCAAGAACGAATTATAAACTCATTTAGTACATTTACGGGGTACTAAACAAACTTCTACTAACTACATGTAACAAAATATGTGACATCTACATAAGCAAGTGTCAATAAATTGCTACGGTGGAAAGGGTTGACTGTTGTATTGACGGCCAACTAAAAGAATTGGTCAAAACCTTTCCATTGTCTACTTCCTCTTCGTTTCATTTTGCAGGGTTAATTGCAAGGATGGTCACTGGGTTTACTAAAACCGTTCATGTTTGGTCACTGCAAATATTTAATTCCATTCATGGTCATTAAGATTAGTTCAATAGTTCAAGTTTGGTCACTCTCCGTTAGTCTCCGTTAGTTTTTGCTGATGTGGCAGTCAACTATTATAGTTGACCGTTAAATGAGTGACGTGGCCATTAAAAAAATAATAAAATAATAAAATTTAAATATTTACAATTTCCACCTCATTTTACAACTATTAAAAAATAAAAATAAAACTTACCTCTGCCACTCCTCCTTCCGATTCTTCTTCCCAATCTTCCCCGTCGCTTCCTCTCCCCCACTCCTCCTTCCGGCGAAACCCCACTTCTTTTTCAACTACGCCGCTGCTGCCCTAAACATACAACCCTGCCGCTCGCCGTATCCCGGTGGTGCTTTTCCATCCCCATACATCCTCGTTCTACTCTAAACCCTCCCTTCGGCAATGGCGGCCACTCCCATCCCTGAATCCGCCGATGGCCCCATCCTCAGCCTAATCAACAAGCGCCTTCGCGCCCTCCGCAAGAAGCAAAACCGAATCATCCAGATGGAAGAGTCCGTCGCCCAGGGCAAGGTACTCAACAACGAACAAAGGGAAGTCCTCGGCTTCAAACCCTCCGTCTCCGCCGCAATCGACGAGCTCGAGAAGCTCCGCCAGCCTCTCTCCGTCGCCGTCTCCGAGGAAATCGAGCTCGCCATCGAGCGGCACCGCACCGAGTCTCAACCCTCCCCCGGTGTCCCCGCTGCTGCTGATGCTGATGTCGCCGCGGCGGAAGAGGAGAAGAATGGCGAGACCGAGCGCAGAGAAGAAGAGGAGGGGAGTCAGCACACCACCACTCAATCTACCCACCCACCACCACCGTCGCCGCCGCCCGGCGGAATCAGGACTACTTCCTCAAACTCCCATTGCTCCACAAACCCCCATTCTCCACCCCACTCCAAGCCCTCTCCTTCGACGCCCGCCGCCTCTCCCTCCTCTACCACGGTCACCGCCATCGCCGCCCCTCCCTCAGATCGCCGCTCGTCTCTGGCACCTCCTCCGGCTCCGGCCAGTACTTCGGCATTTCCCCCCGATTTCAGTCAATGGCGGACAATCCAATCCTTCTCTCCGATGAAGACGCCAACGATCCAAGCACTCTGATTCCACCCCTCTCAAAGAGTCTCCGCGCCGCTCGAGCGGAGCTCAGGCTCGACCCGGCCCCTATCATCTTCCTCATCGACGACGATCCCTCTCCGTTCAAGCCGTCGCTGAATTCCTCATCCGCTCCCTCTGTCGTCCCGGAAACTCCGATGTCTGATATGGCCGCCGCTGGGAGACGCACGGTGGACCTTTCGACTCCAGAAATTAGGGTTCCTGATTTCGGCCTCATCGGCGAAGATCCCTCTCCGTTCAATACGAATCAGAATTCCTCATCTGCTCTCTCTGTTGTACCGGAAACCCCGATGTCTGATGTTGCCGCCGCTGGGTTTTGGAAAGAAGGGGATGGTCTAGTGGCAGAGGAGGAGGAGGGCAGAGGTAAGTTTTATTTTTATTTTTTAATAGTTGTAAAATGAGGTGGAAATTGTAAATATTAAATTTTATTATTTTATTATTTTTTTAATGGTCACGTCACTCATTTAACGGTCAACTATAATAGTTGACTGCCACATCAGCAAAAACTAACGGAGACTAACGGAGAGTGACCAAACTTGAACTATTGAACTAATCTTAATGACCATGAATGGAATTAAATATTTGCAGTGACCAAACATGAACGGTTTTAGTAAACCCAGTGACCATCCTTGCAATTAACCCCATTTTGCACTTGAATTCCATAACCCTAATTAGTATACTATTTTTATGTATTCTAATCACAAGTATGAACGGGTCCATACACGACTCACCAACAGTCTAGAGAATTTATAATTGAACCACGAAACACTATCTTTTTCAGCTCAATGTACTGTCGAGTCCAATTAAAAATAAATATATATGGTTATTACTTATTTGAAAGGTGTCATTTTCCACTATGGGATTTGAAGGCGTGAAATTTCAAGCGAGTTCCAGTTTGTATTCCATTTGCTTCTCTCTAGAGTTTTTCTTTAACTAGAATTTTCAACAATTATATATGGAATGTTTAGCTAGTTATCTATACATATCAAATAAATAGTTTCCTATTTTATAAAAAAAGTAAATAATTATCATCTTAAATACATTGCCATAAAAGGAATTAAGTCTCAACTATGCAAATTACAGTTTGGTACCTAAACTTGATAGATCTTTAGATTTATAACATAATTTTTTTACATATAAGTCCTCAAAATATTGAAAGAACATTACATTTTAGTACCTAAAATTTTTGTGTATTACATTTTGGTACCTAAAGTTTTGAAGTTCTACAAATATGTCTAATTTTTGTGTGTGTAATTAAAATACCCTTGAGTAAAGGGGTATCCATACCCAACTCATACACATTTAGATTATGAAAGTAACTATCCATACCCTACCCAAACTCATCTGCAAACTTCTAAACCCATATATACGTTAGTCATACCCTACCCATAATCAATAGGTGTATTTGAGTTTATGAAAATATCATTAATTAACCAAAAATTTCAAAGTTTTTTAAATTGGATGTTTACCGTCATATATATCTTCTCAGTCAATATCATATTGTCAAATCAATATTACTAACAAAATTGCTCACAAAAAATTAATTTTAGGCTAATCATACTAACAAAATACCATAGCGGACCACATAATACATGCCCATAGGCCATTTCCGTCCGCGACAAGACACAGAATCTTTTTTTTTTACCAATAGATCACTTGTATTACCAAGGCAAACAGCTAGCAAAGTTTACAACTCATGAACAAACCAACGAAAAAAATCAAAAGTATCTACAACTGCAGGCAACAAAGAAAGGTTCTTCCTAGCCACCTCATGGGCCACCCGATTGTTACTCCTGCCAACAAAAGTCATCTCCAAACGCAAGTACTGCAGCCGCAGTTTCCGAATTTCTTCAAGAATCCGCCTGCCTTTCACATCCCTAGCATCCATATTCTGGATTTTCTCAATGACAACCTTCGCATCCCCGCAGAATTGCACTTCGGCTAGTCCCTTCAAAGAGCACCACTGAATTGCATCCCGAAACGCCACCAATTCCACCAGAAAAGGATCCTCCAGACCTGCATAATAAAACCCCTGCACAAAACACACCCTCCCCAACCCATCATAAACCACTAAACCACCAGTACCATGCGAACCAGCACGTACAGCTCCATCCACATAGCATCGATAAGGCATAGCAATCTGAGATCGGTCCGCCACCCTACTCGCACCCCCTCCCTGCTGACCCCGATGCACTCTATCCTGCCCAGCCTCAGCCAAACTTAACCACTCACGAACCTACTCCTCAAATTGCCTCACCAGAGTACTCACCCTATACTGTACATGATCAAACACCACCCAATTTCTACTCTTCCAAATTCTCCAAAGAGTTGCCACAAACCGAACTATCCTCTCCACACTGGCGTCCTGCTCAAA